TGTCGTGCACATAGGTCGAGAATCCGTCCGTTGGCACGTGCAAATCAGCAACGCTTCCACTTATTCAGCATGATTCAACCACATTTCATTCATCCCCAGAGTAGTACGATTACATTCGTGAATACTCCTTGTGACTTCGAGAAGCGGCATGATGCCGATTCGTTTTAAACACGTGCCGAGGTGATATAATCGCATATTATTTCAAGACACAACAATAACACAAAAACCGTTACACAATGACATATAATCACCATTAGGTAATAATGTTTTAGAATCATTAGTAAATACACACAGAGAACGAAATCTTTTCAATTATATATAGATTAGAGATAAAGAAACAAAAATTAAAAATTCTTTAGCAAGATCAAGATAATATTATATTATTTCCACTTTAATATTGATATAACAAATATTAATAATTATAACGTTATATTACAATTATACTTACGTACAATTACACATACAATTATACGTTTGTAAATATGATAATTACAACAATTATAACTGTTAATTAGTATTAATAAAAAAATGTGCCAAAAAGGCATTTCTCGATGACGTTGGAATGACGGGCGGCGTTTTATCATCCGTATAGTTCCATCAATTGAACCCGTCTCGTATTTCAGAGAACGCGATAGGGGTTATTCACATTCCTCTCGCGTAATGAACACGCGCTTGCGACACGCGAGAACGCATACGTACACGACACATTACCTGCTAATTAAAACCAATGCGGCGAGTCGCGGACGCGTCGAAACTACCAGCTTCGACTTTCGATCGCGAAATACACATCGTATTTCGTAATCTATTACGGTGTAATGTATAATCTACATACTATAAATTCGCTTCGTTAATATGGTTATTAATTGCCACTTGAAAGTTCAAACGTCGATAATTCACTCACGCAACGGATAACGCGAACCGCCGGCTAATGTTACTGGCAACTACTTGTAACAACGAATGTAATTCAGTGGCCTAGAAATAAAAGAAAGGGTATGTGCAGGAATACAGGCACGTTCGTCCTTCAGCGACTCGTCCTTCTACCTCCAAGTCATAATACAATCAATTGTCCTCATTCCAAGATGTATATCGAGTGCTTTTTATGCGCAATTTTATTATCTATGAAATGAGGGAAAATGATCGACCGAAGGAAGTCTAGGAAGAAAATACGGGCGTTGCTTTTACGTATTTTGCGCATCTCATACGCGACGGAGCGAGTCTTCTTCACATTTCTGTCTTATTCATTCGCAATCCGAACAAATACAGATGTTACCAACGATGCGGTGGCATCATCGTGTTTAGTTTAGGTATTAGGTAGCGTTTACTCGAGCACTCACGTAAGTGCGACGAATGTGTTGTATTAACGCACAAATTTTCGTAGCTGATAACAACATGGACAGACAGCGATGATAACTCGACGTAAGTACCGGCGAATATTATTTACCGAGCGGCAATTTATGCCAATTAACCCTTTTGTCCCCAATTATATTACCTTTAGCGGAATTAATATATAGGAGTCACGAGACGGAATATTATGAATAACGTATTTTGATTTCGATAATGTCATAAATTCTCATTAAAAATAAATAGAGCCTTTTAAATTCTCTAATAGGGATTTAACAGAGAAAAATCGGACGATGCGCAAGATTGTGCAAGCGATTATGGCATAAGGGGGGGAAGCATAGCGTTAAAAATGATTATTTCTACAGAAACAGGATGAAAATATAGCTTCTAAATGATGATTTATGAGAAATAGCGATATAACGACCGTCTTGCAATCTGTCCGTATTAAAATTTTTATCGTGCGTTTAGCCTTGATTTGAGATGCGCAACACTTTTAATATAAATAACTATAATAAATAAAAAAAACTTCAATAAATTCAACTGCATATATGCAAATTAAAAAATTAACGTCAATTTTTATTTTAATACATATCTATAGATACGTAAACATACCTATTTATAATTGATAGATACTAAATTACGCTCAATAATGATGTCTAAGCTGATTATTGTAATAATTAGTATTTGTCATAATTATTATTACAATAATCAGCTTGTAATAATTATTGACCGTAATTTAGTATCGATTATAAATAGGTATATGTTTACCTGTTGAGGTACATATCTATAGATGTATTAAAATAATATTTTGGAGAAATACATTAGAATCACATATTACAAAAGTTTTCAATAATGTCTAACTTTTGCGAAGTGCGACTGTGACTCACTTAAATTACCATAAGTCCTTTATCTTCCGATCGAGGCCGCATCTTTCCGTGTAACTGATAATAATGAAAAAAGACGTGACGCGCCGCGGCGCCGTGCGCGGTGAGAAATCAGCGCGCGATAATCGCACGGCACGATTGAGAGGGGAAAAAAAACCGTGATTTCTCGTTTTATTAGTCAGCTGATGGCGATGGTACGGGCAAAGAGACTCGTCATCGCCGAGAGAGGATACTACATTCGATGGGAATACGAGGCGGACGTCGCGTCATTATGACGCTTGCGTAATCGTTTCCCCGAAGAAAGATTTTTGACGATCCGACCTTAAATCACTTCCTGCCTCGCGTCATTAACTTTACTCGATAATCTGTAAGTACGTAAAAGCGCGACCGCCGGGTACACGCGTTTCTTATCGTCGTAACGTCATGATTATCGCGGTGCAAATCGCGGCAGAACCGATTGCGATCATAAAAATATTTATGAACCCGATCTCTGCGCGTAAAATCCGCGTAAATATCAAACGCGTATCGTATACGCTCATGTAAATTAAGCTCGCGTGAAATAAATATAATATTTATGATTGTAAAGTTCGTCGTATAAATGCGAATTAAAGCAGATAATATCGTACGAAATAAAATATCGATTTTATATGACAATACCGTTCGCACGTGCCGAATTTAATGAGACAATTTTAGAAAAAAATAATCCAACAACAGAAAATAAGTAGAAAACGACAATGAATTTCATGTTATAATATAAGTTAATATCATACAATTGATTTTCATATCGCGAGCTTGTCAAGGAGGGAAAGCAAGAGCAAATCTCTTTTGTATACCTTTCTACACGTCGAAATTTCTACTCCGGGGCTACTTTTACTGTAACACATCGATCATCGAAATGGCTAAAAGAACAGAGCGACAGCAAGACCATGCCGCGGAGAAATAACTAATTACGACGCGATGACGTGTGTGCATTCAATAGCGCGCACCTGCTTGCATTTTATAAAAAGCAAGCTACAAAACCTGCTACAAAACCTGAACGCTACGACGTGAAAAATAACACGGTGTTTAACGAACAACCTATCAATTCGATATACATTTCCGACAAAAACGTCCAAAATGAATATACAATAATACATAAAGTAAATACACAAATGAATTTATAAATTTTCTGACATCAGCAGGAAGTAATTTGTACCTCAAAATTTTGCTCAAGTACAATATGTCTCGTTTTCATATTCGTTCAACCCAATTGGAATATGTATACTTTGTACCGTTATATAGCTGCTAACTGTAAGATTATCGTCGATATTCCGATCGAAATTCATCGATAAAGCGATGTATCGGCGCTGCTGCACGCGTCGCATGCGTGGCCAGACACTTTCTAGCGTAAACACCGAGAGCAGCGGGGCAGCAACGGGGGGAGCGACGACGAATTCAACAGGTGGACCGGTGGCGCGGACTCGGATAAATTCCACGCGAGTGCCACGGATTCCTTCGGTACGGGCGCGTCGTGTCTCCGCCGGGACTTTCGCGGCCGAAGAAAACGCCGATTAACCGATGCGTTCGCCTTAACACGCGCTAACCACTTTTCTCCTCTCTCTTTCTCTTTCTCTCCCTCTTTCTCTCTCCGCTTTACCTGGAAATATTTCACACATTTTCACCAAAGAGCAAAGCGAGAACGTACATTATAACGACAATAAGAGTTGCCGTCTCCAGATTTTTATTTTATTTCTGTTTGTTTTTACATCGGAGATAAAAAAACACGCTCGTTTTTTTTATAGTTTCCCTTATCCTAAATCTTTCGATTTGTAAAAATGAGAATGAGGTGGTTACTTACGCGACTTCCTCGTCCGCGATGCAAGTCAGAACGAACCACTTCCGCGCGCGTCCGTACTTATTTCCAGTGCGCGCGAATTTGGATGCACGCGCTAATTTGCATTTATTCAAAGGAATCGTCCGCGATTTGCAAACGAGCGCCGCTCAATGCCAACAGTTGTTTTTACAGATTTGAATTTCATATTTTGCCGTACTAACACACTGTACTCGCACGTTTATTCCGGTTGTTAATAATAATTACTAGATAGTAATTATAGTAATAATAGTTACTTCGCTCTCGAGAAAAAACCTTGAATTATAATTCTCCAAGAGTATACATCTTCATCTCCATTATTATTATACACGCATCATTGAAGAAAAACAAATTACTCAACATTGTGCATATACAGTGTATCTCGCGACAATGCCAATGGATTCATTAAGTAGCGGAGTAAAAATAAATCCTGCGACAAACTAAAATGCAACGTCAAGTGATTTACCACTTAAATTGACAAATACTTGAAGCAGACGCGTTTGCAGACGCGTTTCCTTGTACTTTGCGCTGTTTTTCTTCAATTATAGCCATGTTCCCAGAACCCGGCTGTAATTTTCCGTTCGGAAGGAAATTATGCAACGGAAACGAACAGGGAAAAAAATGCCCGAATGTCCGAGAGGCGACGAATTACATTTGTTTATTTCTCAACTCGCGCGAGTCTCGATTAAACAAACGGCAATCTATCCGGACACATTATCGGTTTAATTGTAGCCGTGCGCATCCAGGTTTGATAGAGAAGTTCAGCTTATCTCTGAAACGCTCCGCTTCCGCCTTGGGATAACTACACACGTTTAAAAAAAAAAAGAACCTGTGATAAACCGCTGGTGCGCTCACAATTAGAATCAACGATTACGAGACGACCGGGGAAAATTAAGAGGAAAAAGCCAAGAAGCCCACACACTTACCTCGTCGATGGAGCAGTTGCTGCCGTCGGAGCGATCCTCCACGCTGTTGGGATTCCTCTCCGGCGTCTTGATCACCTTGACGTTGGGCATGGTGCCCTTGATGACGATATTGTTCTCCCTGAAGTAATCGTCCGCCTCCTGATCGACCACCAGCAGCTTGGTCTCGTTGGCGAACGCCTTGATGCGCTCGACCACCTGATTGTGGGACTCGTTCGCGATGTCGATCTCGTTGACCTCGATTATCCGGTCGCCCTGGCGCAGACCGGCCGCCTGGCTCGGCGAGCCGTCGTCCACCTTGCCGATAAACTGACCGTTCTTACCCTTCTGCGCGTGCAGGTTGAAGCCGTAGCCGTTGAAATCGTCCCACTTGACGATGTGGCAGAGCCGGGCGCACGGCTTATCGTCCTTGAAGGAGGACATCGCGTCACGACGCCGTCGGTCGGTCTCACTCTCGACGGGGCGAGGAGGGGCGGCGAGGGAAGGGATTAACGAACGTGTGGAATCTGCGCGCCGGATCGCCACCGCCGGGCAACACCACCGCACTGCACTGAGGAACGCGCGAGAGACGCGGAGAGTCACGCGCGAATTTCGAGAGACGAAAACGAGAGACGGGTGCCGCGCGAAGTAGCAGCGGACAGACGGATAGCAAGATAGACGGACAGATAGAATAGACGAGCGCGCGCACACGCTCACGCGACGGCCAAAGTACGTTTGCGATGGTTGATGCGTTTGCGACGATCGGCGGTCGGCTCGGACGGCTCGGCAGCGGCGGCGCGAGCGCGAGCAGTGCCGAGGAACGCCGAAATGTCGCGAGCGCGGGCGAGCGGGCCGCTCGGCCTCGGGCCTCCGATGACTACCGACGAGAGCCGAACCGAACCGATCGCGCGAGCGCGCGGCGCGCGGTTGCCTCTCGCTCAGTCGAGGGAATTATATCGATGATTTTTTCTTTTTTGATGAATCTTCATCATCATTCTCCCTTATTTTTTCTCCTCCACTTTATCGTTATTGTATCCTTTGATAAACCCAGTAGTTCATCAAATATTTTAGAATTTTTTTGACGGTTTATTCGTAGCGTAAAGTTTGAAATGCGAGGAGTGCTCCGTTCGATTGCACCTCTCTCAATTCGCAATCGGCATATCTCGCCACGTAGCGTAAAAGTCTATTTAATACAGACGCACGCGCGATTTACGTATGTCAATTGGAGATTAAACCTGTGGCGTGTTTCTTGAGCACGATAGAGAAGGAATTCGAGATGCGCCGACGCGTGAAACGAATTACCGAAGCGGGAAGCGCGCGAGACGGCACAACAACGAAGGTGAACGTCGGTTGCGGACTGTCGCGCACGACGCGCACTCGCGCAATAGAGTTTCGATTTGAATCGATACTTCGAAATATCGATACATCCGCCATTTGATATTCGATATTTTGAATTTCAATATCTTATAATTAGTATATATTAGCGGTTGAAAACTTAGATATGTCAATTGATTCGATACGGACCAGTTCGTATCGAATTAGATGCGAGTGAATTTTAGTCACCAGGCTATTTTATTTATTGAAATTTTGTTTATTTGAATGAAATTGTATTCTTGAAAGACATACTAAAATTAATGTTTTATATAATGTGTATTACAGTATTTTATGTCTAATACAATTTTATACTCTCTTGTATTTATTTCTAATTTTTTAAATGTAAAATTACTCTTCGAGAACTGACAAACGTACTTACTGATTTACTAATACAAAATTTTAATACTGGTTTATACACCGATATAATTGAAAACAAAAATAAAAAATTATTACCTAATCATGTTAATTGTTTCCTTCCAATTTGAATGGCTCGTAACGTTGCCTCGGATATAGTAATATACATACTATTAGAATTGTATCTTATTTTGTAATATTATATCATCATGGACAAATAATACAACATAGGTATACATTGTATTTTAGTTTTATATTTATTATAAAAATTTATTATAAAAATATAAAATATCTAAAATGTATATAATATTTATAAATATATAAATATGAATATTTATATATTTATAAATATTTAATAATATATGTTTATAAATATATAAATATAAATATTTATATATTTAAAACTATATATTCATAAAATATGTAAAATGTTACATTTTTTTTTACAAGTTATCACAATTTAAAAACTCTTGCTGTTTTATAAAGTATAAACTATCACAGTGTAATCATTAGCAGTCTTATTGCAGTCTTATCAAATTAAAAATTAACTTGTATTAGTGTAGTTCTACTGAAACTCCAATGGAATGAGTCATGATTTTCAATTGAGAACTCATCAGAGCACCCTTAACAGTCGTCATCAGTTGAATTACAAAAATTTCATTGAACATCCAGCATGTGGAGCATATCTTCTCACGGCCACGAACTTTGACTAAAAATATCACGCAGTCGTCTTTTGGATCTATTTGCAAAATGTAATACACTTTAGTATTTCAGTACAAGCTTTATTATTCCATAGTATTTCATACCACGTTAAAGACGGGAAGATTTATTTAGCAAACTTTTAGTGTCGTGTATTATTGTGAGACAGCAAAGTAAAAATACTGATATCGTTTTGATACGCAAGTATTGAAATAAGAGAATTTATTTAGGCGTGACAAGAAATTCAGGAAATCTCAGGAATTCAGAAATTTCATCGATATCTAAGTCACAAAAATCGAGAATGAAATGTAATGGATTTAATATTTTCAAATATTTTTGCTTGTCTGATATTTTTATAGTCAAGAATGCAAGAGTATACTACAAATATTAGTATTTACTTGTATTAATTGGGTCAATTTCCATCATCAAATCATCTTTATCATCTTTATCTTTACCAATAAGATGGTGTGTAGAAATTAGCTCATCACTTAGCCAGTAATTTTGTATATTTGTATTGCCGACTATAGATTCTTTGTTCGGAATGTACAGCATAGCGTTGTCCAGGTACATACTTCCGATTCGCTGAAATTACACACATACAATTAATATACATATATATAATTGAGGAAAAGAACGAATAATATATATATATATATTTGGCAGTATTATTGTTACTTACAATTCTAGCGTCCCGAAACTTGTAACAGCTTTTTATGAATTCCTTCACAATAAGAGTCACTTTGGTCAGATCATAATGTTTTACCATCTAGAAATGTGAACGTAGATGTAAGGATCATGGTGTAATCAAATATATAATATATAATCAAACATTTGAAATGTGTATAAAAATATGAAATACAGTCGAACCTCTCGCTAACTCGAATCCCAAGGGAACAGAAAATAATTCAAGTTATCGAATATTTCGTGTTATCAAGATTTCGAGTTATAGAGATGTTGAAAAAATTTCGATTTCATAGAGGTTTTAAAATTATACATAAATAACTCAGTTATCGTAAAAAACAATAGAGTAACAAAAAGGTTTTTTAATGACTTTAATAACTTTTAATAACTTTAACTAAGAAGTAAATTTATATTTATTTATAGAGATGATGCATACCATATATGGACCTTTAACAGCCGTATCAATTACGTTAAGTTCATTAGTTAATTTTGATTTTAATTTTGATTTTCTGCCTGAACTCATTTCCAAGCTTGTACTTATGAATCTAAAATAACAATAAATATAAAAGAATAAAATAATAAGTTATAAAGTGATAAAATATAGTCAATTAAAATTCTTACGTGTTAAGAAGTACGTCTGATTATCTCGATGAGTAACGGTTGAATAGATAGAAGTCAGCAACAGTGAAAAGTCATTAGAGAAGTCATGCTAAGTAAACAATAATGTCAAAACAAACAATAACTAATCAAGGACTATGTATGTACTCCTTATTATTTTGTCATATATCGCGTTTAAAATTTTGTTAGTTGTTTTGGCGAATGGACAAAGAAAGAAGAAAAAATACAAATAAATTGATGCAAAATCTTTTTACTTTGACTTATAGAGGTTTTATTGATCGGAATTCGAGATGTAGAGGTCAATTTATAATATTAATCTCTATATCTTGAAACAATTCGAGTTATAAAGGTATAAAAATAAGGTAATCTCCTCTTTTTCTCCGACTTACAGAGATTTTCTTCGAGTTACAGAGGTTTTTCTCGACTTATAGAGAGTTTTTCAAAAAAATAAAAAAAAAATCGAATTATAAAGGTTTTCGATCGAGTTAACAAGGTTCAAGTTGTCGAGGTTTGATTGTATAATATATCAATGATATACGATGCCGCGTCTGCAGGTCCGAGTTAAATAACAGATATATCTATTATTTGACTCGGACGTGGCTATCTCCAGGTAGGAAGGCATTTATGACACTGTGATACGTGCCTTCTCTTTGAGTGCGTACAGGTAGAACAGCAAGTCACAATAAAGTCAAAATAACGGGAAAATGACGATTTTTAAGTCATTTTGCACAATCTTTTTGACGTCATTTTAAATTCATTATAAACTTTCCGTTTCACCTGAATATCTCCACCACCCGATTTTCGAATAAACCGCGTTCTCATTTTGATATATGTATATCACTGCTGTCGTGACAGCTACTCCTCGCGGCAGATGCGCAAAGCTCTGTGCACTACGCTGCGAACGTACGCGTCGGTCAACAAAAAGCAAATGAAAATTTATGAAAACAAGGCTCGATTCTACGCGATACAATTTCGAAAAATAAATAATTGAGACTAATTCCTGGAATTTATGGCTTCCTATCCCAAGTAGCACAGCAAGTCACAATAAAGTCAAAATGATGTCAAAATGACTGTAAAATGACGATTTTTGATAATTTTACCATCATTTTACCATCATTTTGACGTCATTTTGATTTTATTGTGACTTTCTCTTTTCTCTGGGTATAGTTCCTATACTAGTATATTATTTCGTATGACATACCGCATTTGTAATCAATATATAACTTTTTACATTTTTTATGCTTACACAAACGTATGTACGCATAAATCTTTTGCTTATATTAATAAAAATTATCCAAAATTTTCGACACATATAAATACCAAATTTTCGATACGAAAATTATCATGTCGTATGTATTCTAATTAATAAATTGTTATAAATATTGCAAAACTGGTTTAGGTATCTCACTATCGTTAATATTATAAACTTATATTTTGAAATTGTTATTTTTATAAACTTGCATATTGTATTAATTAACTACTGCTAGTGTTAAATAAAATATGATACACAGAGAGAGATTATCGAGTATAATTTTGGTACATGATGTTTGACAACAAACATAACATTTTCTTGCAATACACGTTTGCAAAAATTTTATATAATTACAAGCCAATGTCTCCACAATATTAAGAGAAAATATCAGACTATATAAATAATAGTAGCTAAACATCTTGCGTTATGCAATTTATGCAAAAATTTATTATATTTTTCCAGAGATATGTAAAAGAAAGGCTTCAAGTATTCCTACGTAAAATTGATTTTTTAATTCCAAGCTAACATTTTCGAAATGTTGTCGTTTAGTCCAGCTTTTTGTTTTTTATACTCTTTTTGATCATCCCAAAATCTGACGAGATCGACCAACTACTATTTGCAATATGAAGACTAGTGGCACAAGTGTATCCAGATTAAATTAGTGAAAAGAGCTATTGGGCTATTAGAGGCGTTAGAATTTTTAAAACTTTTTGTTCGCTTTACCGCCCTCCTCCTCTTTATTATTATATTAGACACAAAGAACGTACACGCGCAGTTATTGATATACGCGACGATGAAAACGCTAAGTTTAATTTCAATTTTTGTCTGTACCGGTTGTGGACTGATTCGAAGTTATAATACCCCTAAAACATTTTTTACTTTTGTAGCTTTATTCGCAGAAACATTCAGGAAACATGTATCGACTCTGTGTGGCAATTGTGGTAATCAGCTTCGCGTTAATCAATGCGGAGTTGCACAGGTAAGTACATACGTTCGACATTTATATCGACAATAAATTCCATATAAATTCCATATAAAGATCGCGCTTCTTGGAATCACAGCAGAATTCGCAATAAATGCTTTAATAAATACGATAATTGTACTAAATCCGTGAGAAAAACGCATTTTAAAAGTCGGAATGAAGTGAGCAGACTAATTAAGACATGTTTTGAGGATCCCTTCGAAGATCTTAAATGAGATTAGCGTCATAAAAAGAAGAATTTGCTTTTAAAATACTTAAACTACATTCTAACGCGTAAATTCATAAATACAAGTGGCACTTATTTCTTAATACCAAAATTTTATGGTTTTAATAGTTTTCAAATAAAAATACGGCTTATCAATAAAGCAAAATTGGTTTGCTTATCAAGTGTGTGCATTTAAATTTTAACAAGGAAAAAAATGCAGAAAATTGCAGAACAAGATATTTTCTTCTTCATTTACAGGCTTCCTTTATCCTTTTGCAACATGACTTCATAATTTAATGATATGTTATCTATATAATATTAACTTGAATTTTTCTGCAATTTTGCAACATCCAGACTTTGAACGACATTCGAGAATTTTGTTACGATATAGTACTTAATACTAAAATGCAATTGATACAGTCTGCCACGATTTAGCATATTAGCATTCAAGCTAAATCTGTAATGTGAATATACCATTGCTTACACAATATAAGTCTGTTATACCGACGCAAACAATACATACTTTCAAAGATCAATTTCACCTCATTAATCATTAAACTTTTTTAAATACATTGAATTGGGCTAAATAAAATATTTACGTATATACAAAACGCAATTTTTAGAGTCGATTAGATTAATGAAAAGAGCTCTTAGGCTCTCAGAGAATTTGCATAAACTTTAAAGCTTTTAAGCCTTGTCTCCACGATGCTAGAAATCGCTCTGAAAATTAACCAATCGCATTGGCCAATTGTCGAATTGCTTAAATATGATTGGTCAATTCCTTTTCTCCATCCGAGATCTCGAAGCAATTTCTAATATCGTTCGAACACAAAGCTTTGGAACGCTTCGTTTGTTTTTCTGCCCTGCTCACCTTCTTATAAGCACAAGGCCATGTACGCACATTTGTATATAAGAGAACGCTTAGCAATTTGACTGCCTGTTCTTTGTCTGTACGTACCGGTTGTGGATTGATTCGCAGTTCTAACAGTCCTAAAACAATTTTGACTTTTGTAGCTTCAGTTGTCGAGAAATTCAGGAAAATGTATCGGCTCTTTGTGACGGTAATCACGGTAATCAACTTCGCGTCAATCAACGCGGAGTTGCATAGGTGAGTACATGGTATGTACAAACGATCCACATTTATATCGACACGATAAATTATAATACCGTATAGAGATCGTGCTTCCAACTATTTTGAATCGCCGCAAAATTCGCGATAAATAATTATCAAATCAATTTCAAATATCATAATTGTATCAAATCTGTAAGAAAAACGCATTTCAAAAGTCGGAATAAAGTGAGCAAATTAATTACAAGAGATGCTTTGAGGATTCCTTCGAAAATCTTATTTTAAATGAGACTAACATCATAAAAAGAGGAATTCGCATTTAAAATACCTAACTACATTCTAATGCGTAAATATATGCAAGTAGCATTTATTTCTTAATGTCAAAATGTTGAAGCTTTAATAGTTTTTAAATAAGAATTGCTTGAAAATGATCAAAATAAATTATTTGAATTTTGTATTTATGTTGTACGATATATGTACATACATTCGCGTTTATACGATACAAGTACGCATATAATATAACGGAAATTTTTTTATGTTGCTTCAAGAATTCCGTTACACAAGACATACTCTGTTGAAAAATTTTCGACGGAAACTGTGATACCACTCCGTTCGGGACGTTCAGGTACGGCAAACGTATCTCTGATTAATTATCTGAATATTCAATACTGCGGTACTATCGAAATTGGAACTCCACCGCAGACATTTAAAATACTTTTCGACACTGGTTGCTCAGATCTCTGGGTACCATCCAAAAACTGCAATGTCAGCCAACCTGCTTGCTGTAAGTATATTATATCATAACATCGCTACCTCCCCGACATTCTATTATTCCTATATGTACATTTGTATTTAAAAAGCTTAATGTTTCAAGTATTAAAATAATCTTAATAATTTTTTTCTCGTTTAATGATTGATATAAAGTAAAAATAAAAAATAAGAATAATGCTGTAGAATTGTATCTATTCCATTTACATTTCAAGTAAAGTTATAAAATCTTTAAAGCAACCGTTTCAAAGATTCGAATCAGTGGTAAATATTATGTAGCTAAGTTCCATACTCACATACTCTCTTATTTACATTATTTAGCAAACTTACTTTAAAGATACAAATAATTTCTTGTACAAAACAGCTCACATGTTAAAGCAAAAAATATAAATATAAATATATTTCATGATTTAACTGAATATATTTGATGATTTAACTACTGTTAGTTATATATTTAGATTAATATAAAGAAATTTATATTTCTACAGATTCTTCAATATTAACTGATTTAAATTTATTTACTACTTTTTGCAGTGAAACATAATAAATATGATAGTACACAGTCCACCACATATATACCACTAAATTATTCATTATTTTATAAAGACGATGCCGGTGTGTATGGGTTTTTAGTTAATGATGATGTAATCGTAAGTCATTGTCAAGTAAATGATATATTTAATTCTAATCACAGTCATAATCTGTGAAAATTTTCTAAAAAGTTGTTATCATTCTCTGAAAAAAAAATGCGCGCAATTATACCAATAACAACGTTTCACAGATTGCTGGCCTTAATGTTTCATTCCACACATTCGGAGAGATAACCAATTTCGCGACAAACTTTTGGGACTATGCAGAATGCGACGGCGTTCTGGGTATGGGTTATAAAGACTTATCCCATTTTAATACGCCTAGCGTCTTTCAAAGCTTGATTGATGAACAAATGGTGTCCCGAAAAATTTTTAGCTTTTATCTAAATCGGTATGTATCTTTCCGTATGTCTCACGTGTGTTTAATACTATTTTTTTAATTATATACTTTGTCTTTCCATGCAATGTAAAATGCAAATGTATAAAAAATGTAAAAAATATACAACCTATATAGAAATCTCTCGGACGTGATCGGCGGTGAACTGATATTGGGTGGTTCTGATCCCGCTTATTATGACGGCGACTTTACGTATGTTAATGTTACCCACATAGAATACTGGGAATTTAAAATAGATAAGTATGTAGTTTTTTTTTTTTTTTTCTAAATTATACGTATGTCAACCACGGATTATATGTCAACTAATTGGTAATACTATCACACTGTAGGATTCAAGTAAAAAATTACACCTCTTGCTCGGAAGGCTGTCAAGCTGTCGTCGACACGGGCGCTTCTATGATAGGTGGACCACCGCAGACTATCGCAGCTCTTAACAGAGAGATCGGTGTTAATAATGGAACAGTAAATAATAGATCTTTTTCGTTAATGGCAGCTTTCACAATTATCTTAAATAAATTATTAAAATAAATTAATAAATGTTTGATAAGTTACGGATTATTAATATGGATTACTAACATTGACCTTCGTTTAAAGGTGCAATGCGACGATGATTATATTTCTAAATTGCCCGATATCAATTTCGTCATGGGTGGTAAGACGTTTCGACTCACTGGTCAAGATTATATCTTGAAGGTAAAGAATATTATCATATAAAGGTTTAAATTGTTTTTATAGAATAGAAATGTCATGCCATATTTAATGTCTCATAGCTCGGCGCTGAATTAGGAGGTAATTGCATTCCCGGCTTCCAAGCTGTTACTCAGTTGGATGGTTTAGATTGGATTTTGGGCCATGTATTTATTGGTCGGTACTATACAGAGTTTGACATGGAGAACGACCGAGTGGGATTCGCCCTTGCAAGAAATTAAATCTTGATTGCCTTCTCATGAAGTTATCATTAAATATTAGAAAATCTAAATGACATTACTAAACAAATAAGTCATAATTTTTTTAGAATATCGACTGACATATAATCTGTAATTTTATTTGGACTATTATATGGTATATTTTTAAATTAATACGTATGTAAGAATTAGATGAAAGATATGCGATACGTATTCTACCAACGATTTGGTACATCTTGTTTTTTTGGCAACTATATCGAATTGTTAGATATTGTGAATACAACTTGTATATAATATGTCTCTTAAAATGAAGTATATATTTTTTACACTGAATAATGATTTCATAATCGCCCTTTCAATCTCATCTTAATATGTAGTATCCCGAAAAATATTATCTCGTTTAATCTTATAAACTTTCTGCTTGGATACGAGTACAAGATATCATATAACATTCTGCTTATATGTATAAGAGTATGACATGCCGCATTTGTAATCACATTATAACTTTTTACATTTCTTATGCTTACACGAACGTATATTGTACGCATAAATCTTTTGCTTATTAATAAACATTATCTAAAATTTTCGACACATAGATACCAAATTCTCGATACAAAAATTATCATGTCGTATATATTCTAATGAATAAAGTGTTATAATATTGCAAAACTGGTTTAGGTATTTCACTATCGTTAATATTATAAACTTATATTTTGAAATTGTTATTTTTAAAAACTTGCATATTGTGTTGACTCCTGCTAGTGTTAAATAAAACATGATACACACAGAAAGATTTTCGAGTAATTTTGATACATGATGTGTAACAACGATAAAATTTTCTTGCAATACACGTTTGCAAAAATTTTATATAATTACAAGCCGACGTCTCTACAATATTAAGAGAAAATATAATATATAAATAATAATAGCTAAACATCTTGTGTTATGCAATGTATGCAACATTGTATTATATTTTTGCAAGAAATCTGTAAAAAAAGGCTTCAAGTAAATCTTACGTAAAATTGATTTCTTAATTCTAAGCTAATATTTTCGAAATTTTAGCGTTTAGTCCAGCTTTTTGTTATTTATACTTCTTTTGATCATCCCAAAATCTGACGAGATCGACCAACTACTATTTGCAATATGAAGACTATAGTGGCGCAAGTGTATCCAGATTAAATTAGTGAAAAGAGCTATTGGATTATTAGAGGCGTTAGAATTTTTAAAATTCTTTGTTTGCTTTACCACCCTCCTCCTCTTTGTTATTATATTAGACAAAAAGGACGTATACGCGCATCTGTATATGAACAGCGACGGGTACGCTAAGTTTAATTACATTCTTTGTCTGTTGTGTGTATTGGTTGTGGACTGTGTGTGTGTGTGTGTGTGCGTGTGCGTGTGCGTGTGCGTGTGCGTGTGCGTGTGCGTGTG